TGATAAAAACTTGAGAGCGTAGACAAGAATCAAATATTAATGATGATAATGGATTACATCGTAAATAATATGAATATATCCAACTTGAACTAATTATGAATGAGGATGATATTTTAATTTGATCAAGTGCTAAACCAAGATTTATTATATTTGAATCATTCGCATGTTTTTCAATAAATAATTCCGGTGATGAAAGAAAATATTTATAATCAAAATCTGAATTAAAAATAATATTTGATTCTTGTCTACGCTCTCAAGTTTTTATCATGAATTTTATCTAGTTCCCAGATTTTACATATTAAAAAATTGTGATTCAAATCGAAGAGGTTCCTTCGTAAAATTTTTCAGCTCAATTTTAGATTTAGTTTATAATTTATTAGACAGCTCACAAAAAAAGATTTATTGAAATCTCTCTCTAAATAGCATTAAAAAAATGTATGATTATGATACATCAAGAAGTTTTTCCATTTCTATTCGGAGCTAATAAAATTTTGATAATTATTATTATCTTTTCTAGGGTTAATAGTTTGTCCCTTAATTTAAAGATCTTTCACAACTATATTTTATCAAAATTACTCGTTCTTCTAAACATATTTTCATGGATACGCTGCCCATGACAAAATTGTATAGGATTCAAACTAGAAAAGTTATCTAAATGAAACGAGATATGATGAAGTTCATGAAGTATTTCAACAAATCTTTTATTCAAAAAAACATATCACACTTTGCATTTTTCACACTTAATACACCGTTAATTCTTCAAATTGGCAGTCTTTTCTAAAGGCTACTGTTTAATTTAGTTCGTTAAATCAATATATTTTGCATCCTTTTTTAAAATAAGAATACTTCTAATCACTAATAATTTATACAAATAGTCTCTAGAACTACTTATTAATAAAATAAACACACAATATGTAAATGTTCATCATAACTAGGCAATTCTAATATATTATATCAAATTGATAGAAATAGTTTGCATTTTTGAATTATATCGTATAGTCAAGATGTTCCTTTAACAGACAATGATTAGAAAAATCCTTTGAAATGTCGTATAACGAAGGTTTTTTTATGTATAAAACTTAATGAGAATAGATTATTCTCATTTTCTACAATGACATTTTCATTATTAAGATAAAGATAAATTACCTTGATTAAGAATATTCGTTAATTGTTGAATAGCTTCAATATGTTTTTGTGCATGTGTTAAATCTCCTGAAGATTTTTTAATATCATAAAAAAGTTTTAAACGTTCAAAATCTTTTCCATCAATAAATGGAAAAACATTTGTATGTAAAGGTTTAACTAAATCTAATTTAATTTGTCGATTTTTTTAATTCTTTCTGAATTTAAAAATGGTTTTATTTTTTTTCGTATATCATTTAACGATAAATTTGAATTTGTTAATAAATATTCAAAATATGAATGATGACATTCATCAATTGATATATTATATTCAATAGATAATTGTTCACCATATTCAAATGATGGATCATCACACATAAATAAACCAAGTATAGTTAAACGACGATATTCATTATCATTTTCAAAACGATTTAAATCAATTGAATTATCTAATTGATTTAATATTGAATATTGACGATTTTTTAATAAACGATTATAATTTTCATTATTTTCAATTAATGTTTTATTGATTATCATTCATGGTATAACATTTAAATTACGTGGTATTGAACTTTTCATTAATGATTGACAATAAATTGATAATTGTAATGCATATTCATTATCTTTTTCAATTAAAATATCATTCTAAACAAAAATCAAATATAATCGATCAAAAAAAATGAAACACACATGAATGAACTTATTCAACTTGTTTGTATCATCAACAAGCGGGGTCATTCGAAATAATTCGTTACTTTTAATTTCATATTCTATTCCTCACTAGCAGCAAATCTGTAGCTAAGTCAAAATCATATCGCCTTATGTTTTCATTCGATTTAAATAGAAACGTGATTTTTCAAAAAAAACTTCATACAGATCGAAATGGCAACTAAATTTCATACTTATGCAGCATAATATAACTAGCTCTATATGAATGTTTGTAAATATAGTACTCATCAGAAGTCCCAGAACATGTAAAAAACAAAGTAACGTTGAACTATTTTCTATCAAATTTTTATCATAAATGGAGCTCGAAAAACTCTGACAATCACCAAGCCGATCCTGATTGACCAAAGTAGAAATTGAGTTACAAAAAAAAACCGTAGTCATGACTTGGTTGGTTTCGACCATAATTCTCATAATATCTCTTGACTTGATTCATTGATCATTCTTAAGTTCACTCATATTTTGATCGTGTTGAAAAATTCTTTTGAAATCTCGCAGATTTTCCATAAAACATATATCAGCTAGAGACATATAGGGTTTGATTTGTAACTCAATCTCTACGTTGATCAACCGAAGTTGGATTGATGATTGTCATTAGGGTTGTTTGAGCTCTATTTATGATAAAAATTTAGTGAAAAATAATTCACTTATCTCGGGACTTCTGACGAGTACTGTATTTATATTATACACAATACCTAAAGGAAATCGCTTCGTTTTTTAAGAAACTCTTCTCTTTATCATATTGAAAACTCATGGTTTCTACAAAGAAATTCAAGTGCTAATTCTTTATCTTAGTTAAATCGCAACATGATACAATATTATCTTTGACAGTTCCTTGTCTATAGATCTGTTGATTACGGACAATATATGAAATAAATAACATTTTTTTAGTCTTATAATAGTTTCGTATTTGATAAGAAATATTTATTAATATAACTGATTTGTTTAGTTATATGTGGGAATATCTGACACGGAGCATTAAAATCAATTCGTTTAGACAAAATGAAATATTAAAATCATATTATTTGATATGTTTCATTTGAATTAATTTAAAATGTAGACTTACATTTGTATTTGATGCTAAACAAATCATGATAAATAATAGCGTATCAATATTGACATATTTTATTGCAGTTTTTTCATCTAAAAAATAATTTTCGTTAAAATTTAAATTGATTTTCTTAACTATTTACATACCAATAGGTGGAGATTTCAATAATGGAATTTCTTTTAATTCCATCTAAATAATTAATATAAAATTTTAGAAGAAATCTAAGAAAAAAAAAAAAGAAGAAAACAAACCTGTTGAGAATAATCTCGATCATAAAATGAATTAGTATAATATGAATAAGTTGATGTAATTCGATATTCTTCCTGAAATTTCAATATTCTTTTTTAGAACAAAAAGTAAAAAACAAACATTTGGTATTGATTGATTTCGAATAGAAATTGATTTTTTAAGAACATCATCCAATAGAATTTCATCACAATGAAAACTAATAAATGATAATATTGATTGATTAATATATGATGAATTTTTATTAATTAATTGCCAACAACATTTCCATGATGGACCATCATTTTCTTCAACTAATGAAGAACATAATTCCCAACACATATTTAAATCATTGATCTTTATTTAAATAGAAATATATTTATTAAAACAAAGATAAATTTGTTTACATCAAGTTTTTTCTCAAAATCTATTCTTACGAACTTCGGACATCTCAAGTAAACAAAGAAAAACACTAATATAGTTAGCATATACAGGATTAATCTTTTTCGATTGATTTGATACTCGTTGAAAATAAACAAAAAAACAAAACACTGAATTACTTTAAGACAATGTTCAGCAATATAAAGCATACATTGATCTTTTTTATCTTGTTTATCTCCATTTTGAAGATATAATGATAATGATATTAACTAAATAAATGAAACAATTTATTTCTTTTGTTTTTCTCATATGATATAGAAATTCTTTTACTTTGCTTGTATTTTTATAAGCTTGAGGATTTGAATTAAGAATAGCAGAAATTATTTGTATAGGATTTGGATGACGACGAACTTAATAATAATATTAAAAAAAAGAAGTTGATATTAATATAAATATTAATAATTATATTAAAATTTACTTTCTAAAGGTGTTATTGGATAATGAAAAAAATCACAAATATTTTGTGATTCAATTAAATTTCGTTCATTAATAACTAATGATTGATCATCGACTAAATCCAAACAATGTCTAATCAATACAAATAAATATTCTATATTTTTTATATTGATTTTTAATTTTACTTAGCAAGAAGAATAGATTTATCTTGTCCATTTTTTGCTGAATCAATATAATCAGTTGCTGCTTGTATTATTAATGGAATATGATTACGTAATAACATTGAACGAACTATTTGAAAACATTCAATACTATCTGATTTTAATAAACTTGAAACAAATAACTAAATTAAACAAATTGTTTGAAGGTTTTTTTTTTTCGTAAAAACATAAATTTATTCTTTTTACATTTGAAAGTGTTTGAGATGATAAACGATTTCGACATATTCGTTCAAGATCATGATATAATTCAGTACCAATTGAAATATTTATTTTATTCATTCTAAAAAAGTTTTATTTAGAAAAATGTTCCATAAAATCGATCTATATCTCTATTGCAACACTACACTGAAGTAACCCTTAAAAGTCTGAGAGGTTTTTTATAACAACAGACTGAAGAAATCCTAAAAATAGAGCTGATGAACTCTCAGTATGTTCATATTATTGCAAAAACTTGAAAGAACGAAATTTTAATCTCAAAGTTTTTTCTTCATCGGTTCATATGATCCTTAAATAATCCTGAAATTATCAGGTAAAATAGATGCTTTGTTATTGAGATATTAGCCGCAGAAAAAAATTAGCAATATTTTGTAAAAAAACCTCAAACTCCGACTTTTCTTCAATATGTCATTTTTCTAAAAGTAAACAATAGTTATTGCTGAAAATTTCAAGATAATCTAAATCGTCTATCAGCCATTTATGAACCAATTTTCATGTGAAAATCGCTTTGTTTCGATTATTTATTGAGGTAAAATATCTCATAAAAACAAAAATTTCTTTATCATAGTCTCCTGCGTTAGTAGAACGATTTAAAATATACGAGATAGTTTCATCAAATACCTTAAAACTATGTTTAACAATATCGCTAAAAAAAACTCAAAGTACGATTGGTAAAAAATGCATTGTTCAGTTTAAGAGTCACTGAAAAATTATATTTTTCTCTTTGTTTCATCACAAAGGTCATGTGAGTTAAGAAAATTGTCGGTTTTGACATATAAGTTGTTGTAGTGAAATTATACTAATGTCCATTGGAAGGGACATTGAGCTCTTCTTAAGGATTGACTAGAAATGTTAGTCATTCATTGAGACCTAACGAATGTTTCTTATACTATGACATCATAGAGGTTAGATAAAACCTAGTATTTTGATCTATTATTATATAACTTACTCTTCTTTAATTGCTGATTGTGTAAGAAGAACAATTGCATTTGATAATGATTCGTCTGATTCCTGATTATTTTTTACAAATTTATTATATAATTAAAAGGAATTTTTTTTTCTAATTTAAACTTACCAAAATTCTAATCATTTCTGATGGAATCATTGTAATAGACCATTTTATAAAAATTCGACATGATCTTTAAAGTTAAAAAAAAATAAAAATAAAAAGAAAGCAAAAAAAAACATTTTACTCAATAATATATTCTAAATCTTGTTTATTATTGATTAAAGTTAATAATTGTTGACAAATTGATATTTGATTAATTGAATTAACATTTAAAATTAATTCTTTAATTAATTGATCAAAATCATTTTGTTTTATATTTGATTTTAATTTAAATGAATTAATTATTGGATAAATATCAATATTATTTTGTAATTTATTAATTAAAACTTTTTTAAAATATTCATTTGATTTTTGAATTGAATCCATTGATGGTAATAAAACTTGTTGAATACGTTTATCAATATTATCTTGTGTAGAATTATTTTTAAATGTTAATATTAAATCAATAATATCTTCTTCTGACATATGTTTAACTTGTTCAAATGTTATATCTTGATCAGATGTTTTATTTAATAAAAATTCAAGATAAAGATTATTATAATAAGAAGAAAATTCTTAAAAATTTTCAATATCTAAAGCATGTTTACATAATTGAAGAGCATTTTCAATAAGACCAAATGATTCAAATGAAAGAATTCTTTTCTTATACCATTCAATAAATAATGTTCGATCAATATCTTCTTTTGGTTTTTCTTCATATGGAGATAAATATTCATTACTCCAATCATTTTCTTTTCGTTCAACTTCTTTTTCATTAATTAAAGAATATTTTGGAATTAACTCTTCATATTCATTCAATGGTATTGTTTCAGAAATTTCATTTAATATTCATAAAAAATCAATTGATGATATTGATGGTATAGCACGTCCTAATACTAGTCGTAAACCTTTTAAATGTCCTTCCTTAAATAGAATAAACACAAATAAATTAATATGAAAAATATTTATAATCGTATTTTATTTCAATATAGATCTGTCATAGGAGTTTGTCGCATTGCTTCTGAACCTAATAGGCTCTACATATGATCTTCAGATAATGGGTAGTGATCCAAAAGTTTCGACATCTCTCAGTAAATCGATCATATCTATAACAAAATTATGTGAAGTTATTAATCAGATTATGTCATTTTGTAGAAGAACATTAGAGTTATCATTTGAAAAAGAAAATTCGAAATATATAACAATCTTATGATCATTTTACTAATCTTGAGTAAAAATTTTTGCATTACAGTTTTTGAAAAAAAATAATCAAAAAATCTTTATGATTTGACTCGCTAAAGTCGAGTCAAATATTGTTTTTAATAGACATTTTTATATAATTCGACTCCTTTTTTCGATACAAAACTTAAATGAAACCAAGCAAACGAATAAAAATCTTTCATGAGATAGAATGTTTAAGTTCTAAAAACTTTAGCTGATCAACTGTTAATTGATGTTTTGAGATGAAGTGTTACATACTGAAATTGAATAGAATGTGGATGTAGAAAAAATATATCTACAACAATACTCAAATCCTTCATATAAAAAATAAGATGAAAATTTTTGTAAGCATAGATATTCTTGTAGATCGTATCGAACTCTTTTGAATCATGTAAAAATATCTCCAATACAATATAATGTTTAAGATGTTACAAACATATTTTGTTTTTTTTTTTCAAAGAAGATTTAACGGAGTCAAATAATCTGACTATGATTCTCATCTCTTTCTAATCGTTAAATTGTTCTCAATTTAAAATATTTTCAATTATGATGTATTCTTTAGTTATTAAGATATTATTTATTTAGCATTTCTTTTTCTTTTTCAAAAAACAAATCACTATGCTAATAGAAAGATTAACATAGATATTTGTATTCAAACTCTTATAGAAATTAATATGAAGAGTACAGAAGATACTACTCGTTTGATAAATAATTCAGTAATATATTTTTTCATAAATGATATATCTGATAAGACTACCGTTAAAACTCTATCGAAACAATAATGTGTTTCATATTTTTTCCGATGTATTAGAAAAGAAAATATTATTAAAACGACAATAAAACTTAATAATAGCTGATGACTCGTATAGAATATTGGAAGAGAAGAGTTTCAAAAAAAAAAATGTTTGTAAAATAAGTAAACTTTGTCTTACTCTAGCTAATCTTAATGCAATTTGTTTATAATCCCATTCTCGAAATTTTTCAAATATATTTGATTGATATTGTTGAAATATTTTATATTTATTAATAAGATCATCATATAAAATTAATTTTCTTTTTTCATCTAATAATTTTCTTCTATAAAGTAAAATTTGTTTTTGTGGAATATTTAATTGTATTTGTTATTCTTGTAGATCTTTTAAATATAAATTTGCATCCTAAATTGTTTGAAAAAAAGGTTGATCTGAATAAAATAAATTATTAAATAATTATTTTCTTGTTGCTTGATTAAGACCAAATTGTATTAATTGTAATTATTCATCAAATGTTGAATATAATATTGTTGTACATAATTGAAGAACATGAAGACGTGATTGAATTCGTGTTAAATGTGCATCGATTTGTGATGATGATAAACGTAATGCTTTTTCATGTATTTAATCAGATAAATCTGTTCGATTAAAAACTTTACAAACACGTAATGCTTGGCCATATTCACCTTTTGAAACTAAATTTTCTATTAAACGACAAGGATCACTATGTTCAAATAAAATTAATCGTTCATTTATTAATTCAATTGAATCTTTTAATGAATGAAATAAACGTGATATTATATTTAAATTTTCTTCATCAATTTCATCTTTAATATTAACTTGTATTTGACAATCAATTAAATACAAATCATTTGAAATATGATGACAAAAACGTGGCCATTCATTTAATTGATTAGATTCATAATGATATTCTTCTAATGTTTCAATACCTTCATGAAAACTTATTGAACCATCCGAATAAAATAATATTAAAGTCTATATTAAAAAAAAACACAAGTTCTTGTTTTTTTTTTAAATTTCAATGAAAACATACTTTAATTACCCCAATAACTAAAATCACAAATAAATGATCGATTATCAGGAATTTTTAACTATAAAAATATATTTTTATTTTACAAAACAAAAATAGAAAATAAACTATTACTTTCGATAAACAACGAAATTGTTCATTATTTTGATAAAGAATAATCGATTGATCAGATAATATTGATACAAGACAAGATTCATTTGGTGAAAGTGCAAGACCATATATATATATATCATTATCAGTATTTTCATTATCAATTATTTCTTTTATTTTTATGATAAATGGAGTTGTATCAACAATTTTCCAAACTGATATTGTTTTTGTATTAAAAGGTACCATATAAATTTGATTTTGATTTGAATCAATTATAGCACAACTTATATTAAAATCAAATTTATCTTCAGCACAAGATGCTATATGATCTCAACTCATTACATATCGAATTAATTCACCAGTACGTTTTAAACATAATAAATCAATAAATCTATTGTTAATAAATTATTAAAACTAAACAAATTGAAAAATAACTTACTGAGATGCATCACTTCCAGAAAACCAAATTTCTACAAATAAATCTTCGTTATGATTTGACTAAAAAAATAAATTTAAATAAGAAAAAAAAATTTTTTTGTTTCATGTATTTGATTATTTTTAATACTGATTTAGTTGGTAATTCATGTAATATTTGTCCATCAATTGATGAATAAATACAAACAACACCTGACCAATGTCCATAAGCTAATAATTTTCCATTATTAGATCAAGTTAAACAATTTAAATAATTATATTCATCTGATCGAGGTAAATCAAGTGAAATTTCTAATAAAACTTCAGATGCAATCAATGATATTATGCATATTGTATTGTTTATTACTAAAGCCAAACGGTGTGATCTATTAATGGTATTAAGAGAATTTATTTTTTTTTAATTTTTATAACATTTTTAAACATACAATATATGTAGTGATATTGGAGATGATTTTTTTCCACTTTGTTTAAGAAATCTTTCAGCATTTTGAGAAAGTTTTATCGATGAACTAAATTAATTTATAAATTTTATACTCCTTTCTTTTTTCTTTTCGTAGAGTGTGGGTGTGGATGTGGGTGTTTGAGTATTAATCTTTTCACCAGACCCACACCCACACCCACACCTACACCCTCTATAAAAAAAATACTGATCAAGCGTTATTACTAATGTTTTCTTCAATCCTTTCATACATGTATGCACCAGCGTTAGACTAGAGATTAGATAAGGACAATGGACAAAAACAGCAAGTATTAATGAAGTAATACACGAAAAAATGAAAAGTGGATCCGCTCGGACTCCAAGGCAGCTACGAAGGGTTGAATGGCTACAAATGAACAATTTCGTCCTATTCAATTCCTGATTATTGATCATTGTTATACATTGCATGAATTTGCTTGTTTATTATTTCTTCTGTACCTCAACTTTATCGCTTGAGTTGTTTTGATATTGATTATCATCATTTAAATGATGATTTTCATTTACCAACCATATTTTTCAATTTAACAGATTTTACTATCGATGTATATTCGATGAAATTTGATAAATTAGAAATATTTATTAAGAATTTGAATTCAAAATTGAAATTTCTACATGTTCATACTGAATCTGAAGATATGGATTATTTTGATGTTTCTCAATAAGAACTTATTTTAAAATATGTACCTAAATTAGATGTATTCAATTTTAAATACCATGAATATGTAGATTATGAGAATTGAACATAAAATCATATCGTGGGAAATCAAATAAGTTTAGGTCAACATTTTGAATTGAAAGAAAATGAATCTTCGAAACTACGCTTGATGTTGAATATATTATTTACTTGATTTATTTTTACAAATAGAATAAAAATAATCATATCTATCATTCTTCTTTCCGTTTGGAAAAAGATAGTATAAATATGTTCAACTTTCATTTCTTAATTTTTCTTTGCAATTTTCAAATTCTGCTTGACATGAATTAGCATATGTATATTCTTTCTCATCATTATGTTGAATTACTAATCATAGGTGCTAATTCTGTTTTAATTGTATCATAGATATATTATTTAGAAATTTTCAAAACCATCAGTTTCTATTGATACATTAATTCAGATGATAAAAGTATTACTTGAATTTGTGACAATAAAAATTGATTCTTTATTGTCATCATACGACAAAGTAAATTGTCTGCAAAAAAGAACGTAACGAGTTTCATAAGAATATTAAATAAAGATAATATTACTAAAATCTATCTAGTAAAAATGATTAATATTGTTAGAGAAGTGGATAATTCTTATCAAGCTTTCTTTTCGAATGAATTATTTACAAAACCATCTTATCAATGATATTGATTTGAAAGTATTTATAAAAGAGATTTTAATAAAAATTATGAATCGTGTCAATCATTAACTTTGTTCTTTACATTTTTGTGTTTCAATACCTAATGATCAAATGGTGGAAGAATTAAATAAAATGATTGACTAAGAACAACTACTACTCGATTCTAAAATTCAACATATATATATATATTTGATAAGATTCATCGACAATGGACATGACTATACTAAACATTATTGTTCATTTTATATTTTATAAACCTTTTTTTTTAATATTTAAATACATTTTCTTATTCTATCATGGTTCTTTTTTGACAAAGATCTATTGGATAAAACATCTTAAATATAGATTGATAAAATATTCATTCAAATGTATCGTCGTCAGGCTGTGCAGTTCATTTCCAATTTATGAAATAATTACTCAATGACTTTTGACTCTTTCTTTTCTGTCTGAAATTGACCTTATTAGCGTGTTTTTTTTTCTCTCATTCGGATATATAAGTCTATTGAAAATGTTGAAATAGTCAAATATATATATCTCAAGTATAAGAGTACAATAGATATGGATGTACTTAAACGAAAACTAGTTTTCAATGAAACATTAAATGAATCAAGTAAGATATTTCAGAGAAAGTTATTTATTTAATGAAAATAAAATTATTGATGTTTTTATTGAAATAGATCAATCAATAACTTCTATTGAAAATTTATCAAATGAAATCTTTTATGAAATATTTGATTATTTCGATGGTGGTGAAATAGTTAAAAAATTTTCTAAACTAAATTCTCGTTTTGAACAACTCCTTCATTCTTCATTAATTTTAATTAAAACACAATTTTATTTGTTTTATTATGAAGAAATAATGAATAAAGATCATGAATTAGAAATATTTTCAAATAAATTATGCTCTAATTTAAAAATTTTATTTATTAATTGTTCACAAAATCTCATTTTTCTTGATGCTCATCGATGGGAACAATTGATTTTACATTATTATCCTCAATTAGAAAAATTCTATTTAACCTATAATGATGGTATTAATAATAATAATCAATATCCAATATGTACTGGACCAGTAAATCAATTTTCTTCATCATTTTGGATTCAACGAAAATGGATATTTCATGTGAAAATTGATAATACAGATATCAAATATATGATTTATCCATACAAGTATATCGATGAATATTTTTTATTAAAAAAAATTTATTCTTCTGTTTATTTTTTAGAAAAACATGGTACAATTATATAGATGATAACAATATTGAATATTCAACATCAACAAGTTTAATATTCACTAATTTTCGTACCTGGTCATATGATGAAATGATATTTGAACAAATAAAACATGTATTAACTATAACACAAATTTATCATTTAAGTATTATTGAAGAACATTCAATACATCTAGCAATTCAATTAATGAATTTATTACCTGATTTAATTACATTAAAAATTCATTCCATACCATCAGATGAAACAACAACATTTACTTTTGAAGAATTTTGTACTGTTGCTGCATTTAAAAGCTACAGTAAAATTGCTAAAGTTTACATTGAAGAAATAAATGATACTAATGATTTGGATTATATTTCACTTCTTTGTCCTCATATGAAATTTTTGCAAGTGAAACGATTCAATATAAATATTCAATTCTGTTTACGTACATTTTTGAAGGTCATATATAATAATAATGATATTTGCTCTATTCGTTCATTATGTTTCGATGTTTCAACAATGGATGATGAAATCATTCAAAATTTCGATATAATGATTCGTTCAGAAAAATTATTATTCAATTATACAATCAAACATGTGTATAATAAGATATATTTACAATGGAAATAACTATCTTTTTTTTCTTTCTATATTAATAAAATTGAAATTAATATATAAATATTTAAAGAGAAAGTAGCTGATCTAGACTGAAGAAAAAAATAACTAATCTTGTCGTATGATGTAAACCAGAGATCAAAAACGAACCGAATCGAGCTGAACTGAATTTGAAGTATTTCTTGAAAAGTGATGTCGAACCTGAACAGAACTAATATTGCTTTGAACTCTCATCTATTTCATAAAAATAAATGTCGTTGACGATGATCAAGTGACCTTTGATCAATTGTTTTACATAGTTAATTTAATCTTCAAACAGCATTTCGTTCTCTATTCATAACAATTACATATAATGTGTCGATGACGATCAATCACTTGTATGCGACCTAAAATTTTAATTCATTTTTGGTTATTTTTTTCATTGTTTTGTGCTGTGACGAATAGTTGGATGCTCGTCTAATTGATAACAGCATATTATTCTTAAGTAATTGATCTATCGTCATCTTTCTTTAATTTCTATCAGATAAATATTAAAGAGTTAAATAGAGACTGAAATACTTGCTGTAGTTCAAGATAAATTACTATTCATGCATTGGACAAGTGATCTTTAAAAGACACAATCGTGATGCACAAGCGTAGTGTAATTTAGCAGCTTTCTTTGTTGTGAATATATGAAATCTGGTCTATACCGAACTAAACCGGAATTCGAACTTACTTTTTGAAAATACACTCGAACCAAACCGAACCTGAACTAATTTTTCAAAAGTGAACTCGATCCAGAAAAATCCAGTTTAATTTGCTCTCTGATTCTCAAACTTTGGTCTAAACAAAAAACATCAAGAATTTTACTGAAAGAAAAAGCATTAAAATATTTAGATCTGATTAGAGAAGGACAGTTATGATTAGATGGACTTGTTTCATTAGCTGTCATCATTTCATTGTTTTCGTTTGTAAGTTTGGTGCATCATTTGCATACCTATATCCAATTGAAAGGATTAACGATGCTTAACGAATCCATGTTTGATGTAATCTAACAGTACTTAATGAGAAATTTTCAGGTTCTCTACAATTATTATCAACATTGAAACAGAGCTGACAGTCTCGTCTGATGACCTGCCATGCGTCTGCAGACCACCAAGCCAAGCCAAGTTTTGAGATATTAGCCTGACCTGGAGGCCAGGTCGAAGTTTTTAGTCTGCAGGGCATCAAGTCAAAGTTTTTGTGTACTGGTCGATTCTGATTAGAGGAGGTATTGTAAGTTCACAATGCTTTGATGAATTTATTAAAGTTCTACTTCAAATTGTGATACTCAAAGTTAAAATGTCACGCTTTAACCCTGAGATGATCATTCGTCATATGCTCTAATTTCTACTATTCCATCCTAGTCTGGACGTAAATGCTATTGTAAATGTATTACTTCACTCTATACTCTGATTAAAATGACAGTAATGTATCTTAATGATATCAACGTATCTCATTCGTTCTAGTTTATCCTTAACTACGAAGGTTGAAGGACACACTTAACTCTGAACATATAAGTTCACTCAAATTACTACATATACTTTTGATGATAGATAAGTCCTTATTCACTAATTTATTCCTTGTTTGTAATTTTATATTGGTTTATGATTGAGCTAAAGTGTATCGCAATAGATAAGGGAAATAAAGACAAAATAGAAATGGAGCTGACTAAAAGTGAAACTCAACTTAGTACTATTCAGTAGACCAAAAAAAAGAAGTAAATGTTTCTTAATGACATTAATAGGATTTTCCGTTTTTTGGTTCGTATGATTTTTTCTAACGATACATATTTTTTAAAGCATTGTGGAGCAATGCTGCTGGAATGAGATCTGATTTGCAAGCATAGTTTTTCGCATAGATAAAACTGTTTTCTTTTGTGTAGTTCTCTATATTTGGATTTTATATTTGGTGAAAGAGCTAGTCATTTTATCATCTTAATTGAGAAGAACTGAATATATGATTGAGACTAGTATTAGGGAATAAGGAACATATCTGATGCATATTATGCAATTGTTTCTATAAATTCAGTAAAAATTCAATAAATATAGTCTATTCTCTCAGCCACCTGCAGGCCACGCTGGATAAGACTAGGCCAGATCACGTTGAAGGCCGAGTAGTTTATTTTGTCCTGGCCTAATAGAAATGTAGAGGAGGCCAAAAAAAGTGGCCTGTTGGCAGCTCTGCACTGAAACATGAGAAGGAAATGCCCATATTTGCGATACTCAACAAGTAACTATTCACTTTGATGGTTCACTTTATTAGCACAAGCGTTTCTCGTAATAATGTAGCAATTGACCAGCAAAATCGATCGTGATGAGTGAAAACAATCGAAAAATTTCAATTATATCATTGAGACAAGTCTTTTTGTTCTTTCAGTTTTTATCCACATTTCGCAACATCGTATTAACACATAATTTAATCTGATCAGACCTTATTGTGTTGGAGGGCTATGCTTATGTCTAGAAGATCCATCAGATGAACTTGAAAATGAACACTATTATATGCATCAACTAAATTTTTGTCAATTTCTCTTTCGGTCAAATTAGACCTTAGTAAGTGAATCAACGATTCACATTGAAATGACAAAAGTCATGAATTGAGCAGCAAATATGAGCAAAAGTGAAAATCCATCAATTGCTGGACTTTAGTTGTCAACATTAACATCACATTTGTATTTGAAAGAGGATAAAACGTTTCATTATATGAATCTTCAAATGACTCTTGTCATCGACATATCCGAAACGAAATTCTATATAAAAAATATGCAAGAGTCAATCACTTGACCATATGAGATCACTTTCAACACCATTCTCTTTTCTATAGTAAGTGATTTTTCCTGTTTTTTTTTCTCTTGAAGGCTTTGTATTACAGTGGTTTAAATGCGATAAGACACTTTGTTGTGATCGAAAATGTTGTAATATATCTTGTTATTGAACTGCAAAAAAGTTTTGTTCACGATTCAATATGTATGATCATTCAAACTTTCACTGTCCTTCATCTCCGAATAGAATTTTCTGGTTTTTTCTTGTCTTTATTTTAGTGCTTTGTCTTGAATTATTTGGCTTGCTTTTTCTTGTATCCAAACTAGCCATTGTTTCTTTTGTTCACCTATTACTAAGACGATGTTTTAGACGTCAAAGGAACACCAAACGATCTACTGTACTTGCAAAACTTGTTGACAATTATATATTTAAAAAATATGTCGAAGCAGCCATGAAAAGTTTGAATAAATAAAGAAATGGACTAGATATCGAATTATTAGAAGTTGATATTAATCAAGTATCTATAAATGATTTGAATACTATTACAATAGATGATTTTAAAAATAAAGAAATTAATTTGAACTAATAAAAAAATATTTTACTTTATAGAGAGTATTACAACAGTCAAATTAATTATTGATATGATTATCTCTTCCTCTATATCAAGAAGAAATTAAAGATAATGCTAAGATATTTTCTGTCGGATATTATCGAACGATTGAATAATCATCCACTTTTATATTTTTATCTGATCAAATATGAAACTCAATAAGAATAAGTAAAAATAAAAACAAACATGAAATTACGCTTTTGCTCAACTCAATAAGATTGACTATGTATCAAATAATGCTTTAATACGAAATCTATTTCTATCAATGTTAATGTCAGGCATCGTAATCGTCCTGTATTTCCTATATGTTCGAAAGAGTGAAAAAATTGTTTTCAAAAAGGCCTTGTATTTGTGTGCAAAAGACGAACATACATCTTTCTGTATAATTTGTTCTCTCAAGAACAAAATAAATAAAAGTTATCAATAGTATATCCAAATTTTGCAGTCCAGCATCATATTTATTGACATGATTCATTCATTCTGTTCAGCAACTGCAGATTTTTATGAAGATAGTTTAGATATTGGGAAACTCATACCGAATTTCGTATTGTATCATCTTACTAATTATTACTATCAGATCTAATACTTCTCTTCGCGAACGTATGCATTGTATGGCAGTATCTTGCTCTACGATCGACTTAAAGATAGAAAATTAAAATATATTCATTCAAATACAAAGCTTGATATTCTAAGATTTACAAAACCACACAACATTATTCGAGTTTAGCAAGTATTTTCATTTGCTGAAGCATCACCTCGGCAAAAGAGAATTTCAGGATTAGTTCTTTTCCGAGATAGAATCGAAGACAATGAAGAAAATAGATGCTTGTGTCTTTTAGTTAGTCATCTTTGACATTAGAGCTATGAGGGGACAGTTGATGCTAGCCATTATTAGCAGAGAAGATTAATAAATGATCAATGCACAATATACTCATGAAGAAAGTATTGATAATAATTAAAAAACATATCATGATAACTGTGTTTGTTACATATCTGCTATTTATTATATTTTTGTTTCTAAACATTTAACTAAAATGATAAGTTTAAAAGTCTTTTTGCAATATCGATAGTAAAACAAACAATCACGCCACTGCAGTGTTGTGACGAGAAATTTTTTCCAAGCTTATAATTAAGACATTGTCGCGAGTATCAAGCGAGGTTTACTAAAAATTCAGCACCTGAAAGTTAGGACTGTTCCCTTATCGAAATATGTATTCCTAATTTTGTTAGAAACTTGCCTAGTTTTCTTTTTAATAAGAAAACAAGAAATTATTTGTTGAAGAACAACAAAAAGACAAAAAAGCACAGTTACGTTAATGATCTCTATCGATTAAAAAACATATCTCATCTTATGATTATTGTTCATATTTATGTATATGTTGATTAGAAAATTCTTACATGCGTCATATGATAATGGAAAGAAAAATAGATAATTCAATCTGAAAATATTTTCCTATATTATTAGGAAAATCCTATATATTCCTATTTATTCGCAAAGAACTGCTACGAAGCCTGCTAAATACTAAAGTTGGCTAAAAAGTGCATATTTATGCATACTGACCCATAGTGATCAAAATTGTTAGGCCTAACTCTTGTGAAGGGAACACTTTTAAAATAAGATATTTTGGTTTTCTTAGTTTCATAACATGCTCTATCGATCTAGCAAATAAAGAGAAAGAAATAAATTTTGACAGATGCCAGTCATGATTGTTGCTATTATGGACTCTCTCTTTATATTGAAAATGAGAGAGATTGATGTTGATAAATGATAATTAGATAATGGTGATATCAAATCATTTTAATTATTATCTATCATTGCTGCTGATGATGAAAATGTTGATGCTGTACTCGCAATAACAAGTGATGTTGATGAAAGTAATTCAGTTAAATTTGTTGAACTACTTGTTGTTTTCATAAATGATAATTCTTGTTTTGTTGTTGTTGTTTGAGATAAATTGGTTTTATGAAATGACGTTATATGATGAATATGTGCAATATGATATGAATGACATAAAGATGATTGACGTTGTAATTTAGCGGGTCTAACAAACAAATAAAGTCATGTGCAAAAAAAAGTAGCAAGAGCAACAAGCAAATATATTTATCATATAAATCAAAAAAGGGTGCGTGTGAATACAACTTAAAAAGCATTTTGTTTTTTTTTAAGACACCAACCCTTTTCTTTTCAATCAAACGTCTATAAAGCTCATTTTGTTCACTTGCAGAAACAACTGTTTCAGTTGATGCATAATATAAAAGTACTCGAGAATTATCATCATTCATATTATTAAATAATTTAAATAAATAAACTCATTAAAGAAAAAAAAATGAAAATCAATTTAGTCTTGAACTGGTATTGTTTCATCAAATGAACGTATATTGTTGGTAATATTCCATTACCATCATTTTTTTTTGCATACTTGTATAAGTCACTGGATTAATAAATAAAAATGGTGTTAATTGTTTTCTTTTTGCTAATTAGATCGAGAGATCTTCGAAGGTATTTCAATAATCTTTGAAAAATAAAAAGTAAAATTATTTATTTAAATTTATTTTTTTGGTTACTTTATCTAAATCATATTTATTAAATAACATATATGGATCAAATAAATTTCGATCACGAAAATTTAATTCACATCTGCATCTATATTAAAAATAGACAAAACATTTTGTAACTAGAGAAACTAAAATCCATTCATATTATTTATTTCCATTAAAGAATATTATTTCTTACATGACTTTTTGTGGTCGAAATGAAATATCTGTTTATTTTATTATTCCGGGTACTAAATAATTGGGTAAATTACATAAAACAATACCTATATAAATGATTATTTGATGTTTTTTTTTCTTGCTAAAATATACTTTATTTTGATAACAAACAATCAGACAAGATATCTGCTAGGTCCTCAATTGTATTTGTTTGTAAATTAAAAATTCGATTCGCTTCTAGTGATAAAACATGCAATTGATTTAGCCATTGAAATGCTTGGCGTCAAATTGGTTGAAAATTTTTATTTGGGTCGTATAATGGCGGTAATGCTGATGGATTATTCATTAGTTTGTTTATTGATCGTTGATTACTACATATATCTTAGAGGAAAAAAACGAAAAACGTTAATAAGCAAGTAAAAATTCTATCGTTTTTTTTTTTATTACTGATATGTTTATTGAAATGACCAGTGGAAAACGGGTTTTTAACCTCTATTCACCATAACGAAGAAAAAATCATTTTTTACATTAAAAAAAATCACAAAAATAATTTGAAATTTTATTGAAACTTTTAATTAAAAACACACATTAAAAGATTTTGATTTGTTAATTATATCTCTTTGTTCGCGCTTTCGACATTTCTCTTCAAAGTTTTCGCAGTCACAGTAGCAGTTACTCAACAAATTCTACCATCATTTTTATTCAAATGTTATTTTTCTAGATCATATTGAAATAGTTTCACATTCTATTCCACTAAAACTACGTCTTATGGTACATGGTTATCATCAGTAAATTCTTCATTAATTGTTGAAAATATTTTAACACTACTAGAAATTCAAATTGATGAAAAAGGTAATATTTATTGGCTTGAGCATTGTTCATGTGAAAATGGCCGTTATGTAATTCATTCAAATAAGCAACAAGATGGTTTAATATCAAAATCATTTAATTGTCGTCGTACATGTGTTCATGAATATAGTAGCGGACCATATTATGCTGAAAATGATATGATTTATTTTACTAATTTTCTTGATCAATGTATTTATCGATTTGATCTTAAACATAATGATTTAGCAATATCATTTACAAATGAATTAGAAAATTCCTCACTACGTTTAGTTAGTGGTGAATATCTCATTCAGGAAAAAAATGTTCATAAAAATCATTTAACAAGTGACGAATGTTCAGTTGATGGTTATACAACATTATTTGCATTTACAATGTATGATTTCTTTTTTCAACTAATGCATCACATGATGGTGTTATTGATCTTGAATTACTTGCATCTGTTATACATTACTTTGAATCAATTTATTTAGATCAATTAATTGGAGAATATCCAATTAAAAAAAGATATTTATTTACCAATGCTCACCAATAAATTATGTTAAGAATTATAGAAGATAAAATTATTTCCTCAAGTCAAGTTGAATTAATGATGAATGCATTACATGAAAAACATTTATCAGTGGTATATGTTTTAACAATATTGCTTTCGTAAAGCAGAGAATATTCCAAAAAGTTTAGATAGAGAATTTGATTTTGTTTTTTCAAAAATATTTCGTTTTCAAATGGTTGATCATATTGAATCTATTCAGAGTGAAAATTTATCTGATTATTATGCTTATCTTTCTTTTTGAGATTGATTTTGATTTTTACATTTTTATCAAAATAAAAACATGTCAGGGTAAATGACAAATTAATTTATATCAATTTGATTTTTATTTTTCTTTATTATTAATGAAGTGATTATGAAAATCAAAGATCACCTGAATGTTCACATTCACATTCAAGAAGTCCAATTCATCTTTCATCATCAAATAATAATCAAAAATTATCAACACAAAGAGATTATAATCAATTGACATCAAGAAATAATAATGAACATAATTTTCATGATAAAAGAAATAATTATTATCGATCAAGTTATTCAAATCCTAATAATACAAATTATAATCAGAATATTGCTGATGTTCAAATTAACCAAACAATTAATTTATATTCAGATCAAGAACTTGAATTAAAATATCGGTAGAAAATTTATTTGAAATTTTTATTTTGTTTATTTCTGAAGATTTTGTTTTTGTAGATGGGAAAAAACAGTTCATGTTTCAAATATTCCTTATGATATGGAATCGACTGCATTAAAAGATTTATTTCTTACTAAAGGTTTGATTGATTTAAAGAAAAAAAGATTGTTTTTTTTTTGGATTTTTTTTTGTTTTTTAAGTTAGTCAAGTTATGTATATAGAAATATTTAAACGAGATGGAAAATCACTTGGTTGTGGGTAAGATAAAATGAAAATATGAAAAGTTTTATAAAATTTTTGATTTTATTTAGATCTATTGAATTTCGAACTGTTGAAGAAGCTAAACATGCTGTTGAAAAGATGCATCAATTTGAATATGATGATCGAAAATTAACAGTTATATTGGTAAGAAAAATATTTCTATGGAAAAAGATTATTTTTGTTATTATCTTTAGGATGAAGAAGGTTATCAAACACGTCGAGCTAAATATCAAACACTTGAAGGATGTCTACTTCAAAAGAATAACTTGCTTCATCATCATTGTAACCTATCAAATCAATTTGATCATACAAGTGAAAACATCAATAGCATATCTCTTTCATCTCAAATAACAGATCTTAATAGTATTGGTACATCATTTTCGAATTATTCATCTCTTACTGATATTCCATCACATGTCTTACAAAGATTAGTTATTGAAGAACCTATTACAAATAAAATCTTTATTGAAAATGTAAGTAATTATATTTTGTACATTTATTTTAAATAAAATAAAAATTTCATTTTAGCTCGATTTTCAATGTAATGAAGAAAAAATTCATGAATTATTTTCATCAGTTGGTTGTATTCGTGATGTAACATTAAAACAAACAAAAGAAGGACAAAATGATGGTATCGCTGTTATTGAATATAAACATTCATTAGAAGCTGTACGAGCTATATTAAAGTTTAATCAACAACAATTATACGATAGAATAATGACCGTTAAAATTGTTTTAAATGATGAAGAAAAAGATGATGGAAAATTAATAAAATTACCAAGTAAAAGAAAACAAACAAAACATTCTTTTTTTATTCTAATTTGTCAAATATTTCAGGTTGTTTAAAATCCATTGGTACTGATTTAAGTATTGCTGTAAATCCATTAGGAACAACAAGTAAAAGAAAAACTATGATTAAAATCGAAGTAAGAATATTATTAATTTTAGATGTTACTCAACTTGAATCATCAATACCACAAATAAATCCAATAAATTCAAATTCAATGCACAATATTACATCAAATAAATCAAGTAGAAATTCTTTTCATGATTTTATTTAAATTAACTTATTATATTTTTACAGTTTCTATCAATCATAATGATCTTATAGCTTTACAAACACTTTCACAATTATCAGGTACTGTAAAGTGACTTGTTTGGTTTTGTTATAGTGGCGATTGCTTGTTTTTTGTTTTGAATTTCAATTGATTTGAATTCATACCTATACATATCCAGACTTATTCTACAAAGATGATGATGTATGTTTGAATCAAACAGCATCTATCAGTGTATTAACCATATCATTGGTTTGTACACAACTGATATCATTATCCGTTGATGATCAAGATGTTTTTGAACATTAATGTTGACGTTGACAGTGTCAATGGTCTTAGTTCATATTTTTAGGCGCATATTCGACATCGAATAGTAATATGTAACGTTCAGTCGGAGCCGTACTTGGTAGTACTGATGTTACCGATTCGAATGTCAGTATTTATGATTGTGTACGAGGACGATCACCATATCATTGATTTGAAAAAAAAAACAGAAGAATAATAACTAGACACGTATTTTATTTAGTTGAATTATTCTATAGGTTTGATTGATGGATATGTTTTGGATTGAGATTGTGTTTTAATTTGTGGAGATCATCGATAATCATGATAAAAAATGTTACATATATGTATATTTCATTTTTTTTCACTTTCTATTTGTCTCTTTCTCATACTTGCAAACTGATGTTTGTTGTTCATGTTAATAGATATGAAACAATGAACAAAATAATATTATAAGTATCTTTTTATGTATGAATATTTAGTTTTAAGAATTGAAAAGATTGTTGATGATGAGTTTTTGTTGATATTGAAATATTATTTTAACAAAATACAAATATAAATTCGATGAAAAAAAAATAGTTGTCTATAGAATCGGAAAATCAGATAAAAATCGAAAATTTGTCGTAAATTAATTTTGTTTTTTATTTAATCTATTCAATAAACTAGCTTTCATTTGATATAAATTTGAGCTTTAGATAATTTGTAACTGTAGCTGTACTTCTGCAAATTTTTTTTTCCAATAGTAATAGTACATCCTTTCAAAATGTATATATCTTAAAATAATTAGTCTGTTAATTTATCTTATAGAAGCATTATCTGAACTTGCTACATTAAAATTTTATGCATTATTATTATCATCACAAGAACAAAATTGACGTAAGGAAGAAGTGGATATGTTTTTATCGGTATCCGATACAAATAAAACTGAATTATTTACAGATCAATAATATTAATAATATTGATGTTGAAGTATTTTTAAAAGAGATTCTAATTGAAATGATCGGTAATTTCCATCATTCTCTTCGTTTTTTTATGTTTTCGTATTCCAACAGTAGATGATCAAATAGTAGAAAAATTAGCTATGAAAAACTAATTGTTGATTATACAACTATTAGATGTCTCTTTATTCGACTGTTCTGTACGCGATTTTCAATCCGAATGAATGTACTAACACATCAAAACATGAAGGAAGAAAAGAAGAGAAGAGAATGCAAAAGATGAATAGAGCGAAAGCAGACATGAATAACTAAAGTGATGTGAAGACATGTCAACAACGTACCTGTAACAACAACTAAACGTATTTGTGATAATATCTATATATAATGGAGATGATTATTATGGACTTGGTATTTTTCTTTTTTGTAAAACTGATGAGTAAATAAAAGAAAATTTTTAACCTAATGAAATTTGGATAAATAAAAATTTGTTTTATAACTTCAAATGATATTATAGACTTTTATGATAAATATCTAAAAGATGAAACGACACAAACTGATGAAATAATTTCTCTAAAATTTGCAGAGTCATTTGATTGTATATAAGATTAAATGATCAATATACATTGCTTATCCCTTTCCTATCTATAGTTGTTTCCATTTGATGTTGATCTCGACAATCTGTTCTTCTTTTTTTCTTTTTTATCTGAATAACATATTAAAGTGTATTCGAAGTGAAGAATTCATTTCCTAAACAAATTCATTTATTTTAGATTGGACAATAAGTATGAATGAAGTTCAACGAAAATTAAGTTTTGATGGTTTATTTGAAGAAAAAACAATCAAATTTCTCAGTAAATTATTTATCTAATGAATATAAAATTATTTCTATTTTTCATGTTAATAGATGAATTCGATCAATCTATGACTTGTTTTGAAAACCTATCCAATGAGTTATTATGCGAAATATTTGATTATCTTGATGGATATCAATTATTTCAAGCATTTTCAAATCTTAATTCTCGATTTGAACAACTTATTCATTCTTCATGTGTATTAATTAAAACTCGTTTTTGTATAAATCAAAGTTATAAAGTTTTGAACACGTTTGAACAATTTATATTTTCCAATCGACATCAAATATTTTCCATATATTTAAATTTTATGTTACAAGATAGCTATTTGTTTTCATGGTATTTATTTGATTCATCGTTTGATCGACTTGAATCTCTATTGTTTAAAGTCATTCAATCCAATACACTGATGCCGATGCTAGACAATTTATCTTCTTTACCAAATCTTTTCTCATTAACAATCGAAACATACAGTGTTAAAGAACAAATCAATGATATCTATCGATTGATATTTATCTTACCTAAATTGAAATATTATCGAATTTCCTCTTTTAATTATTATCGATCAATTATACTTCCAATAGCTATGAATAATCAATTCAGTCCTATTGAACATCTTGTTATTAATCATTATTGTTCTTTGAACGAACTTCAATCTTTAATTTCTTATACACCACAACTTCGTCGTTTAACTCTTCATAAAACAGAAACAAATGATTTAAATGTGACGATATTATCATCAACAATTACATTAGCTAATCTACAATCGATTTCTTTGAATTTATGCCAAACAACATTTAATGAACTGGAATTATTCATTACAAAAATATTTTCAAATTTAAAAAGTTTATCTATTATTGGATATCAAGATATCACTTTTCTTAATGCTTATCGGTGGAAACAATTAATTTTAAATCATTTTTCTCAATTAGAAAAATTCTATTTAACCTACTATGATGGTATTAATAATAATAATCAATATCCAATATATACTGGGCCAGTAAATCAATTTTCTTCATCATTTTGGATTCAACGAAAATGGATATTTCATGTGCAAATTAACGGAATATATAACAAATATATGATTTATCCATACAAGTATATCGATGAATATTTTTTATTAAAAAAATTAATTCTTCTGTTTTTCCTTTTTTTAGAAAAACATGGTACAATTGCATAGATGATAACAATATTGAATATTCAACATCAACAAGTTTAATATTCACTAATTTTCTTACCTCATCAAATGATGAAATGATATTCGAACAAATAAAACGCGTATTAACTATAACACACATTTATCATTTAATCATCATTGAAAAACTTTCAATACATCTAGTAATTCAATTAATTAATGTATTACCTGATTTAATTACATTAAAAATTCATTTTTTACCATCAGATGAAATAACATCATTTACTTTTAAAGAACTTGATAATCGTTATTTAATGACATGTCGAAGCAATATTATTAAAGTTTATATTGAAGAAATAAATAATATTAAAGATTTTCATAATATTTCACTACTTTGTCCTCGTATGAAATTTTTGCAAGTGAAACGATTCAATATAAATATTCAATTCTGTTTACGTAAATTTTTGAAGGTCGTATATAATAATAATAATATTTGCTCTATTCGTTCATTATGTTTCGATGTTTCAACAATGGATGATGAAATCATTCAAAATTTCGATATAATGATTCGTTCAGAAAAATTATTATTCAATTATACAATCAAACATGTGTATAATAAGATATATTTACAATGGAAATAACTATCTTTTTTTTCTTTCTATATTAATAAAATTGAAATTAATATATAAATATTTAAAGAGAAA